CTGAACCTCTCCCATGCTTCTGCCTAAGGAAAGAAACAGGAATGGCGAAGAGTATGAGAACAGGTTTGATTTTTTTCCTCCAACAGTCTCAGGTCATGAATTTTTCTATGAGTGCCTCACACATCACTTTTCAGAGGGTCAGATTCCCATTTAAGATCCATGATTTGAGATCCTCTTAGCAGGAAACCCATTCCTTCTAGCTATTTACATCCAGTAGGTCCTTGCAGCCTTGGGTCCCAGCTGGCCTCTGTATTGTCCAAACGTATAGCCCAGGCTATTCCTAGCCCTTGCCTTAGCTAGCTCATCTATGACACTCATCCTAGGCATGAAGGTCTCCTAGGCAGCAGACACACTCAGTCCACCTGCAGGAACTGCTTCATTATTTGAAGGACAGAAATAAAGCCTTGACACAGGCCAGTCACACACACAGTCTGAGGGCTAGGCCACATGTAGCCAGCTAATAGTAAACTATTACAGTAATAGTAAATATAGTATTATATATAGTATATAATATAAATAGTAAACTATTACAGTATTAGCAAGTTAAGCCTGTGAAGTATTTTCTGTCCCTAAAGCCAACTGGCACAGTCTGGCAACATCCCAGCCTTCAAAACAAGGTGATCTTATCCAAACCAACTTTTGTGGAGGGCCCCTGGGCTTGTGCTAACTTGTGTGGAAAATGATGAGATATTTCTATGATTGGTCTAGTTGAACAAGGCCAAAGATAAGCCTGGGGCTTATTTTTAGCCTACAATCCTACCTATAGTACAGTTAACGAAGTTCAAGTACTTGGGCCCATGCCCATGCCCTACCACTAAGCAGTTTACTAGAGACACAATGCCAATAAGTTAAAACCCACACGTGTACAGAAAAATCTTAAACCATTTTCTATGCCTTTCCATATGCCAATGAGCACAGAGAAGTCAAGAAAACAGCTATAAAGGAAAGCCCAACAGATTTATTAGACAACAAGCTGCAAGTCTTCTCGCAGTAGGCGTAAAGTACGGCAGTCTCGGCGAAAAGACAAGGCAACTGAATAAGGATGGAGAAACAAGAAGCATGTCTCAGTGATTACAGGGAGAACAGAGACACAGCAGAAGCATTCTGTACAAGTGCAGTTAAGGCAAGAAATTCCAAGGCCTGGAAGATGCATACAGGCCATACAAAGTAGAACATTTGGACAAATAAGTACACAAAAAAAGAAAACCGTAAGTACAATGCATGTGATATGAAAACAGTTAAAAAAAACCCCAAAACTTGTCAGAAGCAACTATGGACAGCATTGAACAGTCTTTAGGCACTCTAAACCTGCACAAGTTAACCGACAAAGGAAAGGCTAGAATAAATAGATGGAAGTTCATTTCCAGATTGAGTTACTGACATACATACTGGCTTTGAGAACAAGATCAGTGGCCTGCTGCTGTAAGCGCTCTCTAGCAGCTGCTAGCTCACTTTCCACTTCTTTGTGTTTGCTTAACAATGACATCTCCTCCTCCTTCACATCATCTAGCTGTTTTTGAAGAACCTAGAGAAAGAACAGTATAATGCTTGTTATCATTTTATGCAATCATGGTTAAATTTAAATGAGCAGTAGGTTAAAATGTACAGAAAAGACCCTTCAGCAAATGAGTTTTCTTGATACAAAATCTGAAATCTTGTAATATTTCCGTCATATTCATTTTGTATTATGTGTTTTTCCAAAAATATTGTTGAAGCACTACAAGATACTGGATATATGGCATGGCAAGGATGCATAAGATAAAGGTGACAATATTCAAAAAGGTATATGGAAAATAAAAATGGTAAAATGGTCCACAGAGTTTGGGGGCCAACTTGAGACATGGTTTCTGGTATCTGAGAGTTCTTCACATTGAAGAATACATATGTTCACAGCAGTTTACAGTGTCCTTTATTGCAACTGTGAGCATTCAGTACTGACACAAACTAAGCTGCACATGGATACACACAAAATGAGAGTGAGGCAATTAGTGAAATCAAACTTTTAGTATGTTTTAAGTCTGATGTACTGATTCACAATAGCATATCTTGGGCAGTGTGACAACGTGTTCTCAGCCATGCAAGAAGGAGAAGGAAATCTTGTTCTGTTTTAAAAGGAAGGCTAGATTCCTCATCATCCAAGTCACTGGAATAGTAAAGGGTCCTTCCAGAAACTAAAGCAGGAAACAGACTTGGGGAAAACACCGGACAGGACCTCTAATGGAACATGGACACCAGAAGTGGTGAGATTATGTCTTTGATCACCTTACCCATGATGATCAGAGCCGGACCTTACTTAAACATCTGCTGCAAATACTGTACTAGACTCTTCCTCCTCTTTGGAACCAAGACAAACTCCTTTATTGCAGGAATGATCAACATACAGTGGGTTTCCTCTTCGCTGCAGCTTGCCAGAAACCCACCTTCTTAGCGTAGTCAATTGAAAGGCAAGAGTTTTGCTCCGTTAACTGAACAGAGTTGGAAATGAACTTTTGAGGGCCCCTTGGGAAACTGGAAAAAGGTATTCTGAATTTAACATCTGATATAGGTGGCAGTCTTCTTTCACTATACCCTGTAGCCTTTACACAAGAAGCAAGGATAGTCCAAAAGATGGGCTGGAATTAGATTGTAAATGGGAAAAGCTCATGGTCCATCTCAGCTGTACACAATGATGGTTCCAAAATTACTACAACCATCACATTTAAGGTACTTCTGGCATTGAAACTTGAGAGCAACTACAAATGCAAATGACAAGATACTTAAGCTTACCCAGAGAGATTACCGTTCTCCAGACCTCAGCATAGCTACCAAAACCCAAGCAGAATTCCACAGAATCTTTTCCTTCAAGTCCAGCATACCAGTCCTATTTTTTGCTGACCAAAAAAATTCAGTCTTTGTATTTCTAGGATGTCTTGTCCTTCTTTAAGGACAAGAAACTTTAGTATCTAAATAACACTATGTGGTGGTTTAACCTGGTAAGCAGCTAAGCACCACACAGCCCGCTCGCTCACTACCCCCCAACAGGATTGGGGAGAGAATCAGAAGGGTAAAAATGAGAGAATTTGTGGGCTGAGATAAAGACAGTTTAATAGGTAAAGAAAAAGCCGCGCATGCAAGCAAAGCAAGGAATTCATTCACTACTTCCCATCGGCAGGCAGGTGTTCAGCCATCTCCAGGAAAGCAGGGCTCCATCAAGCATAACAGTTACTTGGGAAGACAAACACCATAACTCCAAACATCCCCTCTTCCACTTTCTTCCCCCAGCCTTATATGCTGAGCATGACATCATATGGTATGGAATATCCCTTTGGTCAGTTGGGGTCAGCTGTCCCAGCTGTGTCCCCTCCCAGCTTCTTGTGCACCCCCAGCCCGCTCACTGGTGGGGTGGGGTGAGAAGCAGAAAAGACCTTGACTCCGTGTAAGCACTGCTCAGCAATAACGAAAACATCTCTGTATTATCAACACTGTTTTCATCGCAAATCCAAAACATAGCCCCATAGTAACTACTATGAAGAAAATTAACTCTATTCCAGCGAAAACCAGTACATACTGGAAATGCGTGCAGTATTTCAGTTACTGCTTGTGAAAAGGTCACTGAAGATGTTATAATAGAAAAAACTAAAACAATTCAGAAAGTCATCTTTTTTCCTTACTTCCCACAAACCTACTCTTCTTAACATCTAACACGTTTAAGCAAGGTAGTCACTAATGATCTCTACAAGCAAGACTGCACTGAACACAGAATATTCATTCTAGTATCAGTTGTAAAACATTCCTGTCAAATACATTTCTGCAAGAAACTCTACAGTCTAGATAAGTGGTTTTCTCAGCTTTTCTAGCAGGCATTTCAGTTTGTCAGCATAACATCTGAAATGGTACCAGTCACCAACATCCTCCTTCCCTCTCTGAATCCTTTTTTTTGGGGGAGGAGGGAGGGATCAATTTATGTGGAGACCTGATGCAAAGATATTGCTTAGCTTTTTGCCCTTTTTTTTTTCCCCCTTTCTTTCTTTCTTTCTTTGGGGGGAGGGGAACCAGGTTTGGTTGGGGACTTTCTGTCTGTTCTTTCAGTGGCAACAGTTTTGAGTATTCTATTGAGTATACTACACTCTGGGTAGTATGACTAGAGCAACCAAGTTCTGTTCATGAACAGCTGAAAGGAAGGAGACCAAAACTTTCCCCTGGGTAGGGGCTTCTAGATTCTACTGGAATATAAAGTAATATTAATTCAGTCTGGGAAACACATAAGATAAATTTAAAAATACAAATAAATAAAAAAATTTGGAAGTAGATGATAATCGAGTATGAGTGACAGAAAATTAAGTTTACATGTTCCAATCACCTCCACCTAACAGCCTCATGAAAAGACGGCATAAATAGGAAAAGAAAATTCACAGTCTTGGGAACAACATATCATTGGTCTCACCTGAACATTGTTTTCTGCTGTACCAAGAGCCACCTGAAGTTTCTGGCATTTTTCCCGTAGACTGGCAGCTTCATCCTGGACCATTTGCAATTCAGTTTTAAGCTTTCCCAGGTTCTTCCGTAACATACTTTCTTGGTTTTGAAATTCTTTTCTTAGCTCCGCTTCTTTTTCTTTGCAAGCATGTAGACTTTCTGCTGTAAAAAGCTGAGATCTTTTCAAAGAATCAAGTTCATGTTCATAGAAGGACTGTGCTTTGCTGAGTTTGCCTTCATAGTCCTCAATGAGTTTTTTTCTTTCCAGCCTTAACTCTTCAACTTTACTGTTCAAGTCTTCCAGCTCCAGTCTATGCAATTCCTCTAGCTTTTCTTGCCCCTTACTTAAAGTAGCATTCTGACTCTGTTGATTCTTCAGAAGTTCTTGAATCTCAAGCCTGTGGGCAGCTCTTAAGTCTTCCAGAGCTGTACGCTTGTCCTTCTCATACTGCACTTGCAACTGAATGAAACTTCGTAGCCTCTCCTCAAATTTCTTTCTGATCTCTTCTACTTCTCTTGACATGGTCACTACACGTTGGACATGCTGAGCTTCTGCACAAAGCTGCATATCCTCAACTCTATCCTTATAGGCTTCAAATTCTGTCAAGGCCTGATGTTTCATCTTTTTATGGTCTTCCAGTGACTCTTCTAAAACCTGGATCTTTCTCTTGAGATCCATTTCTTCTGCAACTTTACTTTTATACTGCAAGATCTTCTCTCTGGTCTCTGCAAGAATTTGTTGAATTTCTTCTTCGTGAGCATCCTTAAGGGCTTGGATAGCAGCTTCATGTTCATCATTTTTAGTGTTCAAAGCATATATTACCTACAAACATGAAACAATATTATATTAGAGAAGAGGCATTCTGGTTATCTGTTAAATCATAAGAAAAAACACCTAGGCACTCTGAAAGTTACTTTGACAAATCTGGCCTGTTTTCATGACGCAAATAAGACACCAAATATTATTATGAATGTGACTGCATAAATGCTGCATTAATCCTGACAATCTTATATATCCTGTAGAATGGTTTTTCTATATTTTTTTAACCTATAATTTTCCTGACAAAAGTTTTGCCTTTATATGCATGTTGTTGCTGTAAATAGCACTGGGAAAAAAGCACATTCAACGCACTGAAAAACAAAACATTTATTTAAAAGAATTAAAAGCATAGCCTAAAAAGAATTTTGAACAGAGGTTTTCTGTTGGAGAATAACATGCACAGAGTATGCGCATACAGTATGTGTATACAGAGTATGTATATACAACATGAAATTAAACTGGAACAAAATCCAAATCTCAAATTCCTCCTTTCTAAATGCTAACTATTCTTAAACATTTCATTTTAGAAACATCTGAAATGCCAAAACTGGTTTTTCTGGTTTGTAGGCCTGATGGCTGCCCAGATACAATTTCATTTTTGACAGGTTATCTAGTAGGCATCTTCTGTATGTGGATCTCCTAAGGTCTGAGGTCCCTCACTACATAAGCTCACCAACTTTCCAGCTAGTAAGTCAGCTGAACAGAAAAGTAGCTGGCAGGGCAGCCAACAGTCTGGGGAGCCCAGGGAGCTAAGCAGCTCAAGAAGGCTGTGAAACCAGCAAAGCTGCCTACCATTCAGTGAAAGTTTTAAAGTAACCAGCTATATCCTATGATGGGATGGTTCAATCGCACCACAACATGGTAGGTTGTCTTTTTGGTTTTTAACTAGGAAGTACTCTCACCGATACAGAGATACAGGTAAGTATGTGTGTACGAATGCGGATATGTATATATCAGTGAATAAACTATTAATGCAATAAGTGGGTTTAATACAGTATTTTGTGCTCCAAGAACTCCAGCAAATCCCCACACTTCCCAGATATGTTACAGGCAGCAGAGCTATAAAACACACCAAAACAGAGAGAAAAAAAAAAAAAGTCTTCTGATTAGTATATTTTGTATATCTTAAAAGTAAACAAGAAGCAACAAAAACAGACAACAAAGAAGCAGCGGATAATTTAGAAAAAGCTGCCCTTTGGGGATGGGGAAAAGTTAGAAAAAGCTTCCCTTTTGGGTTTTTTTTTTTTTTTTTTTTTTCTGTGAGGACAGAACCTGGACCAGTCCTCCGTTAGCATTCAACCAGGCAACAGAAGAAGATTGCGCTGACTTGCCCTCAGGGCCAGGAGGCATGAAGAAGGCCCAGAATCGCTCTCCTGGCACCAAGCACAGAGCCTTTGTGTTCTGGACTGAAGAAAGTGTCTACATCAAGTGTTCAGACAAGATACAAAGCTCAAAAGAGTCCTCATAAGTGAAAAAGCAGATTTGAGATTTTGGCCATGTACGTAACAATTTCTGTTGTTGTTGTTGTTTGTTTGCTTGCCTTAAACAAGAGTTCAGACACTGTTCTAAATTTTATTGTCTGAAATAACAAACACACACCATTCCGTTACCTGTGCCAAAAAACCTAGAAGGGCAGGCTTCAGTTTAAAAGTAAAAGGGAAAAAAAAAAAAAAAGAAAGAAAAGAAAGAAATAAGTTCTGAAACAGTATCAGATGGAAAGAAAAAACTAAACGGCCTCACTCATCTTTATATAGCAAGGAAATAACTAAAAATAAAATATCACAAAAAACAGTTTAACTTACATTATTCTAATTCAATTATTCTAACATATGTACACATTATTTAAAGAAAGAGGGGAAAAAAAGTAGCTCTTCCGTGGTTTTGGAAACTGCTCTTAATGTTGCTAGTATCTCTGCAGGCAGCAGGTAGACTTTTGTCTTACTTCCTCCCTAGAAAAAATAAGTTTTCCACTGCAAAAGAGCCTCATGGTTCAGAGACTCAAAAAACTCCTCCAACACATTGCAAAAAACCGACAACAAACCCACATGCAATTCCATTAGCAGAATCACAACTACCACTGCAATGCCCTTCACTCAAGGTTTCAACCGTTTATATTCTCATTGTCTTTGGCAATACCAACAGTAACTTCTGACCAAAGCTTTCACCTCCCTCCTGTCACCAACATACAGTCTCAGCTATTGGATCCCAAAGGTGGGCTTCCCTGTCGTTTAAATGGTGTCCGGTGCTCAACTCCTATGTTCGTATCAGAAATACTTTGAAAACTGAGGGTTTTATTTTATTTTTTTAAAAACATACATGCAGTATTTTGCATGAAGAGGCCTTAGTTTTGGTTAGATGAAGCTAGACAACGTAGTTAAAAAGGTATTTTTAATAAATATCACACTTATGATCAGGTTATTATAATAAGTATTTGCAGAACACTAGGTCAAATCCCATGCTCAAAATAGCCCTTGACTCCTGTCTCTGTCCATAGAAGTGTCATAACGTTGTTCTTCACTTCAGGCAGTGTTCCAGTCTCAGGTTCTGCAGCATTATAATCTGCAGAAAGTATAAATCATATAGTATTTTCAAGGGTATTATGATTTGGCAATGGGACCCTCACCAAAAATTCCAAGTGAAAAATAAGCCTATATGCAATGCTGAATTCAGCAAGTATCTTGAAATTCTCATCATCCACTTCCTCCATACAAAAACCACTGAACATCTATGAATTCAGTAAGCATCATTCATTCCCGAAATGAATGACACGGGTGTCTTATGGAAAACATAAAAATAAGATAAAATGCATGCAACTGAATGTTGTATCGTAACATGTTCTTCAGCAGCCTGAATTCCAGCTCTGTCAAATTACTCTATTATAAATCTCAGTATTTTTAAAGCAATGGAATAGCTATATCAGATTTTATCTTTCAGAATTTGATGCACTGTATTAGCATGGAAACTTTGTAAAAAAAGTCTGTACTAACTGAAGCAAAAGCAATCTAACAGCATTTCAATGAAACAAAAGCAGAAACTGAATTACATTGGAACGAATTAATACATTTAAAATTCTAGCTAAAATAAATAGTTCTTGCTCACTTAAGTTTCTGAAAATTGAAAGGCAGCAAGGTTGCAACAGTTGGAGGTGGGCAGATAAAACAAGTTTTGCACTCTCTATTTTCAAATCAGAGGATGAGCCATTTCCTAAGCATGCTTGTGAATGCTTTTAAAAATACTAGTAGCTTTTTCAGTACAACTGCATGTTACTAAGAAGGATAAACCGCTCATTTGAGTAATTCATATTTTTTCCAGCTCCACTCTAAATGCGTCATGCACATTGCAGCTCTTATCAGGTGAATACAGAGATTGCCAGCCAGAGGCCTTAATACTTTGTATACAAAACAGTACTGTAATTAATTATTAATAAGAATCTACTGAAATACTACGTGGCTTGGTCTGAAGAACTACAACAGAGTGTTAGTAACAATAACAGTAATAACCTTTTTTATGCCAATAATCAAGTATTGGAGTTTTTAGCTATATTCTATGTGGTAAGGTTAAGCAAGTCCGTTGCTGCATTAGCTTTGGTGGCTCGAACTACATGTAATACAAACAACAATCAGTGTTCAACACCGTCTGTGGCTGAAAGATGAAAGTTTTACTATTTGGCTGAGAAATATTTTTGACTCCAACCCAGATGTTATGATTTGGAGAGGTGACCAACGCTTGCATGGTCAGCTGCACTTTGGCCATCTGCTCCTGCCAGCAATTTAGTCACGATGGAATGCTTTTCTAATTAAAAAATCTGTAATTCACCTTAATACTACTATTAAAGGCCAAATATATTTTGCAGCACAGAAAATATCTCAAAAAATATGTGTGGTTCATTCTCTCTCATTTTAGATGGAAACAGGAACTGATAACTATGAGAAAAAAACATCGCTACACATCTTACACAAACATCGACCTTAGATCTCTGGTGAACCTTCATTTTAGACTTAACATGTGGGTCCCTGGGTCAGAGCACTATATTCAGCCTAGTTCAGGTGAAGTGTCATGTTCCCAGTGCTGCTGGGGTGCTGGTGCCCGCGAGCACTGGTGCTGTCTGTACCCCCTAGTCTGGAACACCAGAGCCTCCAGAGACATCCCAAGACTTTGTCGGTGCTGCACACCTATTTAATGAACTTCAGCACTACAGTGCCAACGAGGAATTGCTCGTGCATAACCTGTTAATGATCTGGGACACATGGACCAATGAGCCTGATCTACCCTTGCTATCTGTGGGTAGGTAAGAACTGCTAGACGAGCAAGAAGTAAGACATGCTGGGCAACAGCAACAAGGGCTTTCTAGAGACAAGTCACACCCCACAGATACAGCGGGATGCAAACAGAAAAGTTTAGTCCACAACCTCGACAAGAAACATCAAAAAACTTCCAGGCATTATTATGAATTAATTTTATGTAGAAGTGTATCCTCTACTATAGTCAGAATGATCAGAATTTTTGTTACAATGAGCATTGCATTCATTTTTCCCCTTTTCTTCCTGTTGACCAAATAATGCCAAATAATAAGAACTATGTTATATTTAAGCATTTAAAATTTACATATTGTGATCAATGAAAGGTCAATTTAAGACAAAATAAATAACCAGTTTAAAACCCAGAAAAGTTTGCGTCTACGGGACAAATTTCTGCTCCTTAGTACATTATAAAAATATGGTAAAACAGGAGAATACTTCAAAGTTATTTAAAACAGTCTTTCAGAAAAGCTGTCCACAATCACAGAGTACATTCTTACAAATGCATTTCTATGTACAAAGTAGACAGCCGATTATAACATAGCATTTTATTCCTTCTCATGCATTGCTAGCCAGACATTGAACATAAGATAAGCTCTGAAGACTTTTTTGTAGAATAAACTTTGAAGTTGCCTTTTTAATAGGAGTTCTTTTCCTTAAATTGTAACCAAGAGACAACTCTGCTCAGAGCACTTAATG